ATTTCTATAGCCACTTTAGATAACCTTATCTAAAGTGGCTCTAGAAATAATTTTTCATATATATATATATATATATATATGTTTTGCCTGAGGCAGGGATGTCCCACCGTTGGTCGGGTGATTTATGTTGGATCTAGTGTTTTCTCTCCAGATACCTATCAATTAGGTATCTTGATGACAACGAATCACTACACACTTATACGATGGCTTTAGCTAGAGGGGGTGTGTGTGTGCACTGTCGTGGTTGCGTAAAATAGGGTTAGAGAAATCAGTCATACCTATGGTCTTTAGCTCCTATTTGTAAGGCTTACATGTGGGCTTGTGCTGATTGGACTTCTTGTAGGCATGGGCCTTTCCCAAGTCCATATAACAATATATATATATATATATATATATATATATATATATATATATATATATATATATATATATATTAATATTTCTTATGTTATATGAGATAAATACAAAAAAATATGTAGGACCCATGTAGGGCTATGTAAAGAGAAGATATATAAAAAATATAAATCCCGTATATTTTCATATCTTTTGTAGGATAAAAAAATAGGGCCATTTAAAAATAATTTAGTCTGCGAAACAACACTAAAACCCAGATGAACTGTTTTCGTAATCTATGCTTAATGAAAAATATTATTTTCACATCAAGTAAGATAGAATGTAGATAAATCTAATTAGCATTATTCAAGTCTGATTAAACAAATAATATTATGTATACAAATCTTTAAAAATATAAACTGTTTGTTTCGTGAATGATGTCATTTTAGTATTTACAATTTTTGTAATGACTCGTTGAGTAACAGTGAAGCTTCATTTTTTCTAGTGACTCAAATCATTTAATTACCATCTCTTGGCATAATCGCACAGTTCTCTTGTAAATTCAATTTTGAAAAAGGGTTTGTTGGCTCATTGTAGACCTTATAAAGATATTTAATAGACAAAGTTCTTTCACATGAAACCAGGCCCCAGCAACCCAATTCAATGATTATGAGTAATAATTAATATTAAATCACGTGTGAGCATATGAAAAAGACTGGGACTGCATAGTGCTCGGAAATGCATATATATGGCTGGATCTATCCACTGCCATGGACGATGGTCCCATACCGAGTAATAATTTAGAGAATGGTTGTCCAGAATGATGGCAGTTTGTGCAATGGGAAGATGGAAAATGATATGTGGGAGACCAAGAGTGCTGCCCAACAGTTCCTTTCATTACGGTAAATAGGGTACCTAGTTTTGACTTTCGGCTCCACTTTTTGTTCTTTATTGATTACTATATTTATTAAGGAAAATTACTTTCTCATATTATCAAGCATCAAAATTCGCATTTTTTTTTAAATAAGTGATGAATTTTATCACTTATTATATTTAATACATGAGAAATATTATCTTATTTGACATAAGAAAAAAAAATCATTTATTAAATATATGAATGCAGTAAATCACATTTTATAGTTTTTTATTTTTTCTTAAAGAGTCATAAACCGATAATTATAATAAGCTAGTTTTTACTTTTTCTGTACCAAAAAAAAAAAATGTAATAAAGAGAAAAGAGAAAGGAACAATGATGGAATATTTTCCTATACTAAGATTAATAAGATCTAAAGCATAGTTGATGGAAATTATTATCTGCATTTGCATTAGGGCGAAAATATTCATACATAAATGTTTTATGCATTAGTTTAACATTTTTTTTGTCTGAAATAAAAAAAATACTAATACACATTTTCTTTCTTTTTTTTAAATAAGTACAAATAACGTGTAAAAAAGTATAATACGTCATAATCATCTTCCTTTGTGTTACGAATTCAAATTTGATGTATTGTTATTGAAAAAAAAAAATCATTTGATAATATATTGACGTGTCATATAAATAGAAGACTTTTCAAGTAATAATTATAATGACTAGTTTTCTTTAGTCATTTAATAATATATAGTTAAACGACGATGTGAAAAAATTTATATTTATAATAAAACGAAATTAATTTGTTTATATAATTATTCTCGTGATTAGGGGTGAAATTGAGTCGGGCCGGCCTACGGCTCGACCTACGTCAGGCCAGATCTAACCTAGTATATTTATTAAAATAGGCCGGGCTTGGGCCTTGAAAAAACCTGCTTAATAAAAAAGTCATAGACACACTTTCACAAGGCCTTGTCTATAAGCTTACAGGCCGACCTATATTGTACTATTTATTTTAAATAAAATAAAATAGAATAAGTATGTTTTGAAGAAAAAAACAAAAGTTATAAATTTAATCAATTGCAATTATTTATAACTTAATTATATTCGATTATATTTTCATAGAAATCTGACTTTACTTCTTATGTAGGAGGAACCAAGATCTCAACATGTTAGATTGTGTATATGAATATATTCAAAGGTTTTCGGGAGAGGTTATACTTACTACAAGCATCATGAAGTATTTGTTGAATTCATGTAGTTATTTTAATTTACGTATTATGGATTTGTTTGTTGGATCTAATGAAATATATATTATTTAGTTTGAGCATTTTGCTTTTGAAAGTGACTTTTTTTTTTCGGATTCTACCAGCATTCGAACCAGGATCAGCATGGTGTTGTCCTCCAACAAGCAACAACTACCACATTGACCACGAATGCTAGTCTTTTGAAAGTGACTTAAATGCATATTGTAATGAGTTTTGTTGTGATTTATGATTCTGTTTGGACGTTGAAATTGTGATTTTTGATTTAGCAACATAATTTGACTATTTTGTAAAGTTGATTCATGGTTCTGTTTGAAAATTAAAAATTAACAGGCTAACGGGATAGGCCAGACTATTTGTTTTATTTTATAAACGGGCCAAGTCAGGCTAACAGTTAGATTCGTACTAGGCTTGGGCCAGGCTAATTTAAATTTTTTTTACATAGACTTGAGCTTTTCAGGACAAAGCTTGGCCCAACCCAGCCCATTTTCAGCCCTAGTCGTGATGTATTGGGGAAGGAAACACTGCATGGAAAATAAATGGAGCAGAAAAAAAGAGAGGAAAGTAATGGGTTCAATCATATGGGTTTTGATTTAACCAAAATAGAAATAGAAAAGGCCGCGCCTTTTTTCAGTGATTTTGAAGGCAAACGACAAAGTTTGGGCCAATATGTTCCAATATAAAAAATAAAAATAAAATCAAATGTCACAATTACAGGATGATGATGTAATCAAAGTTGTTTGTACACATAATTAAAGGAAAAAGGGTCAATTACCCAAACATAAAGGAAGAAGGAACAGCTCGAAATTTTAATGATTTGTAAAGATTAAATATTAATAATTTTTTTTTCATATAAAGAGTAACTTTATTCTAAAACTAAATTGCTTGAGTTGTTACAATAACAGCTGTTACTTAGTTTTTAACATTAGAAACCATTTTTTAAGCTATAATTTTGTTTTTTTAATTACTTAACAACTTGGACCCAAAAATACTTATTTCCCCTCAAACAGATGATATTTAAAATCATTTCTAATTTATTTTAATAATTTATTACATAAAAGGAATTTTTTAATACAATTCGAACAAACCAGATAGTTAACATATCTAATCATAAAATTGACTTTATTATCATTAATTTTTTAAAAATAAAACAAGTATGCATATAATTAATTATTGAATAATATTGTTGGCCACAATTAGTTCAAACATTATTGTTTGAGTGCAAATGAAATGATGAAGGACGTTATGTTTTTGTATGGGACCTTGAAATAGACCCTAACCCAAACATTAGTAGATGAAGAACCCTAAACATGGTTTTGGACCCATCACCTGAAATGGACGACATACAGTATATTTGGCTTATTTTTGAAGTCTTAATCCGTGATTTAGTTAAAGCATGTCTCTTTTAGATTTTGGCGGGGGGATTAAAATGTTTGTCTTAGCTATTGTCTTAAATTGTAACTAATTTAGTTTTATTTTTTTCTCTTATATAGTTTTATTGTTGACATGTATAAAAACTCCATCTATCAGAATCAATAGAATGGTTTTTCTTTTCTCTTCCCTTTCCTGATTGTCTTCCGATAAAGCAAGGGTGTAATACAAGTCTTAATGCTCAGATGTATATGAACTTATTTGATTGTGATAAACTGCGGATGTAAGAACTTATATCCAACTTTACATCAGAACTTATATGGTATGTAAGAAGCCCAAGTAGCCTGCGTATTGATTTTGAAAGATGTTCTAGCATCAAATCAAGTAATAATGTTTATTTAAAAAAATTTAATGCCAAAGACCTACTTGTCAAATTTTTACATCGAATCATTACATCGAGTTGTGAACATATCAATTTTTAGTTATTGCAAACAAATATATCGAATGCAAAATTACATAAGGGATTAATATTTCTCCTTTATCTTAAAAAATAAATAAATATATGAGGCCCTATATTTTCTTTTATGTCTTCGGTTCACATGGTTTCACACGAACCCTACACATTTTTACGTGTGTATGTGTATTTAGGAAATAAAATTATCCTACATAATCAGCCATGTATGTCATTAGAATATTTATTAATATTTCTCTTTTTGTGAGAAATAAATCTTATTTCCTACATACACATAAATGTGTAAAATCCACATGTTTTTTTTCTGTCTTCTTCCCCCACATGAATTTCACATATTTTTATATATATTCACGAGATAAATTATCTCCTAAAAAATATTAATCCCTAAGTTTAAATTGTAAATGAACACGGAAGTTTGATTATCAATAAACCTTTCCTGTGTTTAATTTAGGGTAAAATCCCCTCACCACCGCCTTCAATATATATATAATTAAAAATGGAACAGGTAATCTAAGTCATTTTATGAATAAGCAGAGTACTTTACATTTTTTTCGTGTGCAGAACAGAAGATAAGCAGATATTTAAATAAATAAATAAACAATCATTTTTTTGTGTTTTTCGATGGCAGACCCCCTCTTTTTTCTCTATGCTTTATTTCCCAAGTGTTCGGTTAATCTTATTTCCCATTTCACAGAAACCCCGTCCTCTTCACCACTCACAATATATCTAGCAGTTGCTTACGAGCCGTCGGGCACAATTGCCCTATAAATCTTTTTATGGGATGATTAAATTAGATGATTTGAAATCTATTTTGCTGCATCTGAAGTAGGCCTACTACTGCGTGTATGGTTTTTTCTTTGCCATCATGTGCTATCCACTTAAAAAACTAAAGTATTTTCAGGTACATCCTTTGGGTATAAACCAACAATACTCCACTAAGTTCTACTTTTTCTTCTCCTGTAAGCACCAACAACATACATGGGAAGAGAAAAGGCAGAATGAATTCAACATTTCATAGAATAGAAAGAGACTGATGAGCACAGCTGCAATGCATTATTCTTCTAAATGGGACTTGTGCACCTGAAGATGAAGTTGCAATTACAATATCTAACTCCTGCTGCCTTGTTTTCATGTGATTGCCATTGTTGCAATAAATCTTATCTACACCACCTTGTCTAATCTCCATCATGTTCTATATTCAGACACTTCGATGTCTTTCCAAAAACAAAACAGATCCAATCTACTTTCAATTGGTAACAGTGTAAACAAAACTATATGAAGAACAATTAAAAAGTAAAGTCCACTAATCAAGAAAATGAAAGAAAGCCAACATATAAAGGAAAACAGTAGTATTTTTAGAGTCAGAAATAATTACTAAATAAAATAAAGAAATCAGGTCTATAATTCGAAATTCCATTTTACATAGTACATGCGTATCTGCTTGTTACTTTGCCCAGTATAAGATAGCCAAAGGATAATTTTTGCAACATTAATATCGTCTATTAATAAAAAAGTAGTGAAATCAAAGTTTCACAACAAAATGAGCGTATATTGAATCTTCTCGTAAACATTGTAATGAAAGTTCTACACAAAAGGTATCGAGGTATCATTATAAGTATATGTGACTGTATCATTGTATACAAAAATTGTTTAAAATAGTAACAATTATGTTTAGTGAGTAATTGAAAAATCCCTCTTTACTTCCTTTACCATGCACATTCTGCTAGATTAACATGTTGTGTATACGTTATTTTTTCTTTCAGTTTAAACTATCATTTGAAATTTCAGTTCCTTACATTTCGTAAAAGGTCTTTCATGTGTTATCGCACAATTGTAAATGTATCAATTCAAATATATAAGACATAAATGTATCTTTCATGTAGATGATTGATGATAATATATGAATAATGTACTAAGTTTGTAAACAAGACAAATGCAATTTAGAAGAACCTTGAAGGGATTTTTCGAAGTCCTCCAGCTGATGAACAAAACCAGGATTAGGAGCTGCTATTGGTCGTTTAATCTTTACACGTTGCAGAGCTTCAGATAAGCTCATTCCACGATTCTTCATCAGATATGCCACAACAATAGTCACACTGGAAACGTGGGAAAATATTATGGCCGATTTTTCCTAGTTAATCTAATGGAAAGGGACATAACCAAATAAACAATAAAAATACCAAGATTTTGTTTTTAAAGTTCCAACATGAACATAAAAAAAGAAATAGTAAAATACTGACATGAACTTCATGCAGAACTGAAGTCACAGGCCCAAAGTAAACAATGATATAATTTATCATTCCTAAAATTCAAGCCACATCCCTACCTATCCTTTCTACATATGTTAACAAACTTGAGGTCTAGCTTAGGTTTCGAACAATTTGAAAATTTGATAGCATTTCACAAACAGAGGTGAAAAAATCTTAGTTTAATTAAATTTCTATTTCACTGTGAAAATAGACAACAATCTTGAAGCATGCACTTTTATTATTCTTTCAAATTTTCAGTACTTGAAACTGGAAGTATACGTATGAAAGCAGATTCCAGAAATAGAAAAGAATAATGAAACAGAGAAAACAACAAAATGATATCTATAATTTATAAGGCTACAACAAGATACGTAGGTTTCAATATTAAACAAGTTCACATTTGGCTCAACGGTCACATCCTGAAGTTCCACATGGCATCCAAAACTTCATTACAATAGGTTTGAATAAATAGTCATATAACTATATGAAAACATATTTTACAAGTAAAATAAATATTTGAGTGATGCTGGTACAATCTTTGTCATAAAATTATGAGCTTCCAAGATATTTTTCAAACTTTGCAAAGAAAACATATTACTTTTACATGAGCCATTTTCTATGTTAATACTGGTATAGGAACTAGCATCCAGAAGTTGTTGCATAAAAAACAAGTCACAAATAAAATAATATAATACACTTTGTTGATATTTGATAAAGTAAGACTTCTAAGAACCTAATTGAAATTGCAATAAGCTACACGTAGCTCCCAGTTTTTTGTGTGAGAAACAACATTCCAGATAATTTAAACCTAATTTTTTTTTTGCAAGAAGTGATTAAGACATAAAACTTGCTTCTAAAACAGGCTTCAAATGAGTTATTTTGAGACACTTGTCTAAAATAAAAATAATTGTCTTCACATTGTACAGGAACTGATCGCATTATGTAAACAAAGGAAAAAGATAGGAAAAGAGAAACTTACCTCCTTGATCTTCCAGCAAAACAATGAACCAAGACCCCTCCACCACGTCTTTTGGCTTCATTAATAAAATCAAAACACTCACTGAAGTGTTGTTTTAAGTTGACATCCTCTCTGTCAGCAACTGCCTCAATATTCCAACAAAATCATTACTTTAGTACGGATGCAGTACTAGAAGCTCAACAATCTCATAAGGACGGACAATGAACACCATACACTCAATTCACTCAGTAGTTTAGTGAAATAAATATAATCATATTGAACCTTTATTACAAGCAACATGGATTGAAATGCTGTACAGTCTCCTTAATTAGGAAACAATACTATGCGTTGGTTAAAGGCCAATTGACAATATGAGATGATAACATCTACCATAAAGCTATCTGGTTCTACAAAACACATTTTCTAAGATACAAACAGAAAATTATTGCCCGCAATTGTCCAAAATTCTAAATATTTTGAAAGCAACTGCATGCTAAACAGTTAAAGACCAAAGCATAAACATTCAAAATTGCAAACAGTACTGCTGTTCTATGGTGCACCAAGTAAATGTTCAAATTCCAGCCACAAATTTAATCCCATTTATACTGAATCCAATGACTTAGTCATGAAGCCCCTTTTGATAGCCATAAAATCAAAAGCTCCAGAAACCCAATCAGAAAAACACTGCATTGCATTAATGTCAAAACGAGTTCATAAATCATCACAATGGATGAAACTAAAGACCAAGATTTATTTGATTCTGTGAAAACTACCGTACCATCTATAATTTTATAGACAAAATCCCCAGGATGTGCAGGTTCCAATTTACCAGCCACTGTCAAAATGTGAGTAACATTCAAGTTTTTCAATGCATCCTTGTTAGCTGCAGTGCCAACCGAACCCAAAAAGAGACCCTGCATAATACAAAATATTAGGGCAACGACAGCCTTTACTATATCCAGAAGACTAACAGAATAAACTGAATCCAAGTCATAACACTGTTAAATTGAGCTACATTGGTGACACGCATAGTAGAATACTACCTCGTCAATTTTGCAAGGAGTATTATCCTGTTTGAAAGATTTAACTAAATTCATAACCCGCAAAAGTGATGCTATTTGTTTCTTCATGGATTCATCAAATTGATCCATAGCAGCTGAGGTTCCCATGATCCTTAGTTTTTTTTCTTCTACCTAACGAACAAGGAACGAAATTGCCACGAATTAAATACTCACACGAATGCCAATCATCAATATAGAAAGATAATTCCCGACCATGTTTCCATGTCGAGGAATGAAAACCGATTGCAAAGCAGATATAAACCATTTTAATTTTTACCAAGAAACGATATATTGATGATTGCAGAAACAGCCACGAACGAAATTGATGTGAATGCAGCACAAATAATTCAAGATTTTCTCATAAAAGCAGCGATTACAATTACAAACGCAAACTAAGTAAGAATGTGATATGAAGCTTATCCAACAATCAACAAAGAGGGAGAAGAACTCACCAATAAAGCGTTGGTTTTGAGTGCTGCGGAATCTTTGCAATGTGAAATAGAAATTATTATTATTATTTTTTATTCCTTCGTCTTCAAGCTGGTGGTGTTTCGGGGGTGCGAGATGGGGTAAGTTTTTTAGGGTTGTCAATTGGGCCCAATAAATTTGGGCTCAGCTAGACCGGGCCGAATTAAGTTTTGATTATCTTATATTTAAATTGACATTTTATCAAGATATTACAAAATAAAATGACCTAAGGGGTTAAGTAATCGTTGGACATCTCTAAATTTTCGAAGCAGCTGTGGAAGAAGCTACCCGAGTACCCGGTACTGAACACAAAGCATTAGCATAATACTTTTTGTCCACTATCATATTAACATCTCTATACATCAATGAGTCATGCATTGCACTGTTAATTAATTAACTACTGTCTACTAGTTAATTATAAATTCACAATCTTAGAGCGCACAGTTTGTATTGTATTGAATTGACTGCGATTTTCTTCGATCGCCTAAATAGCAAGGAAATCTTTATTGCTTTTGAAACTTAGAACATGCGGCACCAATTAAAAGTTGGAAATTTTATATATTATTCTTAAGGGAACTGATTCGTGAAAAGCAAAAAACCTCATCAAATTCACCAAAAAAAGAAAAGCGAGCAATTAACGAAAATCAGAAAAAGAAGAAAAAATAATGATAATGTATGTCCTACGAAATCTACAAAAGCAAACCCCCCTATTCTTAATGTGGCTCCTTATAATAGATTGTTTGTTTTACATTTTTCACCAGGTAAAATCCTGTTTACATTCATTAACAAAGTTTTGTATTATATTGAACATGTTTGGTTATTTTTCTCAGTTATTTAAAAGCAAGGGGGTGTTAAAAGGAATTAATTTTGACGGAAGTAACATTTTCTTAAAATAAATAAATTAAGTGAGTAAAATGAATTTATAATTTTTTAAGAACAAAATTATATTATCATTTTGAAACTTATTTTACTTCATCATCCAAATAAAATCATTTTTTTACTCTCAGCTTTAAAATATCATTTCAAATATAATTTTTTAATGTATACATTAATTCTTTCCAAACTATTTTTTCAAAAATCTAAACCAGTAATCCTAATTCCTAAATTAGTTGCGTCCATAAATCAATCACTTATTAATATAAAAGTGAAGGTCAGCTCCTAGAATTTATTGAACTGCGACGCGAAGTGTAGATTACTCGAATCCGTTGTCACCTTTTGATCTATCGAATACTATCGTCATCTTTTGACCAATCGAATATGTATATCGAGATTAGATCTATCCACATGGGAAATTGCTAACATTGTTAACAGTATTTTACTTATAAAGTCACATGGCCAGAAAATTGTCAAATGAGATTAATTAGATCTACTAAGCATCCATCATCTATATAATAGGGACCCCAAAACGCTAAGATGATCAGACTCAGAACAATTGTTAGCAGATTTGAACAATGGCTACTTCTTCGGCCCACCATTTCTTCCTCCTCTCAGTACTTGTTCTTTCATTCTTGTCTTCATCAGTTGCATTGAAGCGCACTAAACCACATGCCTTCATCCTTCCAATTGTGAAAGACACATCAACCCTTCAGTACTCTACTTCTATCGACATGGGAACTCCCCCAGTCAGCATAGACCTAGTCATTGATATCAGCGAACGTTTCCTATGGTTCGAGTGTGGCAAAGACTACAATTCCTCAACCTACAAACCTGTCCATTGCGGCACAAGGAAATGCAAGAAAGCCAAAGGCAGAGATTGCATTACATGTACCAATCATCCTCTTAAAACAGGATGCACAAACAACACTTGCGGTCTTGAACCATTTAACCCCTTCGGTGAGTTCTTTGTAAGCGGAGACATGGGTGAGGATATATTGTCATCTGTGTATTCAACAGATGGTGCAAGAGCACTTTCCAATACATTTGTGCCACACTTCCTTTCTTCATGTGTATACCCAGATAAATTTGGGGTTCAGGGCTTTCTTCAAGGCCTGGCCAAGGGTAATAAAGGGGTGCTAGGCCTTGCAAGGACTGCTATTTCATTACCTACACAACTCACAACTAAATATAAGCTTCATCACAAGTTTGCCCTTTGTTTGCCTTCAACTTCAAGAGAGAATGGACTTGGGGATCTGTTTGTTGGTGGTGGACCTTATTATATGTCTCCTCTTGATGCTTCTAAGTTTCTTGTCTACACACCACTCATTGTGAACCCCCATAGCACAGGTCCAATCTTTGATGATGATCCTTCCACTGAGTACTTTATTGATGTGAAGTCAATCCAGGTTGACGGCAAAGTTGTCAACTTTCCTACCTCCCTTCTGTCTATTAACAAAAGGGGTGATGGGGGTACCAAACTTAGTACCGTAATTCCTTACACGAAATTACACACTTTGATATACCAGCCACTTGTGAATGATTTTGTCAAGAAAGCAGCTATTGGAAAAATAAAGAGAGTGGCAGCAGTGGCACCATTTGGGGCGTGCTTCGATTCAAGAACCATTGGCAAGACCATCACTGGACCCGCTGTGCCAATAATTAATCTGGTGCTTAAGGGGGGAGTTCAATGGAGAATCTATGGTGCCAATTCAATGGTTGAGGTTGCTAAAAATGTGTTATGCCTTGGATTTGTAGATGGAGGTTTGGAGCCAGGAAGTCCAATAGCAACTTCAATTGTTATTGGTGGGCATCAGTTTGAGGACAATCTTTTGGAGTTCGATCTAGTTTCCTCAAAACTTGGTTTTAGCTCCTCCCTTCTACTCCATAATGCAAACTGTTCCCACTTTAGAGCCTATTAAGAAATTCACTTTCAACCTATTCAGAAAAGTTAGGTTTGGTGATGAATAAATTTTATTTACATATTTTGCAGTACCGAATAAATAGGTCATATATTTTCTGTACCAGAAAATAAAAAGGTCATCTATGTCCTATATAAAAATTAATCTTTAATCGAGTATATATTCTAATGTAACTCTTAAAATAATATCCAATTGTTTCTGGGGATTATTTGTTCGTATACCTAAAAAGTGATGCTACATATAACATATTGAATCGGACTTAATTTGTTTATATTAAACAAATTAAATTGTGCGCGTTCACTTACAAATCAACATTTTTAATATTGTCATATAAAAGCTAGTATGCATATAAAATTGATTTTATGACACATTTATAGAAAAAAAATTGATAAACATTTTCAGTATTTACTAAAATATTTACAACAAATCCTAACTTAATTAGTAGAATTGTGAGACATAATATAAAAATACATAAATTCAGATTATATTATGCATTTTATTTCATTTTTCATTTTTTACTCCCTCCTTTCTTTTCTATGAAGAGCATCATGTAAGCTTCTTCATTGGCCTAAAGTGTGGATCCTCCCCTGAAAACATTGTATTTAAAACAAGTATTAGTTTCGTAAAAGTGAAAAGATTGTTAACATCTTAAGACCTTTTGTAGGCTAATTCATATTCACCTTCTTCCGGTGGGATTTTATTTTATTTTATTTTTGAATAAAATTAGGATATTTCTATCTCGTAAAATGAAACTAATTTCTTTATAACTACCACTAGCCCCAAAATACTTATCATAGAAATTGACTTCGTCGGCTACCAAAGTTTGATTCTTATACTGCCGTCCGCTTAACAATTGAAGTACACCTTAAAATTTGTTCCAGTGGGATTTTAGACATCGGGAAAAACGAATATCCGCTTGCAACACCTTCGGTGGTTATTGCCTCGTGTCCTGTCCTACTCCGAAGTGTCATTTCTCCTTCTTCTCTTTTTCCTTCATCTTGGCTGGGTTCAAGACAGCAACACCAGCTCAAATTCAACATAACAGTTCAGAGATTTTTTTTTGGTGAGTAAAAGTTTAGGTAGTGTTAAATACTGATATTTCACTATATTTTTGGAAAAATTTATTGATCCGCATACCAACAAATTTTTCGTATCAGCCTACGGAATTTAAACTTATATTTTTATGGGGGTATGAGTCAAATCCTTAACAATCTATTTTTAGGAAAAAATTAATATGTTACCATAGTACTTATATTTGACCAATAAAAACATAACACCTGATATATTTTTTGAAAGAAAAAAAGAATTTTAATAGTGTAATTATATATTTTTTAAAATACATAATTTATAATTTTATTTTAAATAAAAGTAATACTAAAAATGTTATCCTATTGTTAAATGGGTTTTATACCACTCGTGTCGTTTCAATTTTCCAACGGACATAGTTAATGGTAGGCTCATACTTAAAAAAAAAAAAACCACGCCGTTCAATCGATGTCTCAGTGGCAAGAGATCAAGACTTTCCTAATACACCCAAAAAGAATTACACAGGTATATGCCCAAATACAAATAGCCCAAATTTGAAGTCTAATAAATGCACCCAAATAATAATTATAAAAAAAATTCTGTGTGATAGTGACCCAACCACAGTAAAAACGGTGACATGTCCAAATCCACGCCCACACACATAAGAAGATAGAAGATAAGCAAGCACATAGTGACATATTTATTTTTTTTAAAAGAAAAAAAATTAACAGTGATATACTTTGAGAGTGAGCAAGAACCAAGACGCAATTTCATAGCAAAGTGCAAAACTACCCAAGAATTATTTTCTTCTTCCATGGCTTCCTTTCCTCTCATTTTCTCCTTTCTATGTCTTGTTGCCAAACTCTGTCATGCTCAGTCACCAGTTTCTTTTGTAATCCCAGTCACTAAGGACAATTCAACCCTCCAGTACTTAACAACCCTTTCTTATGGCACCCCTCTCTTACCCACCAAGCTCGTGCTTGATCTTGGAGGTCCTTTCCTCTGGCTTGACTGTGCATCCAGAAACATGCCATCATCTTCAACCCTTACCACTCCTCACCGATCAATTCAATGCCTTACAGCAAAAACCCATGAAGCTGAGGCTACTTCGTTTCTGTCCAGTCCCACAGATCAAGACCAGTATCAGCCATGTCAAGTTTTCCCAGAAAACAGCATCACTGGGACAGTGGCCACAGAAGGAGAGTTTGTACAAGACCTCATGTCTCTCCAATCAACTCACAAGTTAGAAACCATACACCAAGTACGCTTCACCTGTTCACCAAGCATGCTCTTGAATGGCTTAGCTAGGGGTGCTAAAGGCATGGTAGGTCTTGGTAGGTCTCGCTGTTCCCTTACATCACAGGTTTTTGATTCCTTCGGCACCCACAGAAAACTCACTCTATGTCTCTCATCATCAACTGGGGTTATACTTTTCGGCAACATGGACTATGAATCTCCTTCTGGAGCTGAAATTCTAAGATCTTTAACGTTCACACCCCTTATTACCAATCAAAACCAGAGATACCCATCACAGGAATACTTCGTCAACGTCAACTCCATCAAAATCAATGGAAAGCGATTGTCTTTCAACACGTCATCAAAGTCCCAAGACGAAGAGGACAATAATGGAGGGACTCAAACTCAGTTGAGCTCAATTGTGCCTTACACTACCATGCAGAGCTCGATCTATGCTATTTTCAAGACAGCTTTTGTGGATGCTGCTATGTCTATGAACATGACCAGATTGGCTTCGGTGGCACCCTTTGAGCTCTGTTTTAGCTACAGAGGAATTGGAAGGTCGCAAGTGGGGCCCAGTGTGCCAATTATTGAGTTGGTGCTGCAGAGTGAGATGGTGAAATGGAGCATATATGGCAGGAACTCGATGGTGAGGGTGAGCAATGAGATAATGTGCTTGGGATTCTTGGATGGAGGTGTGAACCCAAGAAATCCCATTGTGATTGGGGGATATCAATTGGAGGATGTCATAGTGCAGTTTGATTTAGCTACTTCCATGGTAGGATTTAGCTCTTCCCTTTTGACCAAGAATACTCGCTGTTCGGATTTCAAATTTGGTTCTATTCATGCAGCATCAGTTTGAGTATTGACCATCGTTTTGATGATGAGGGTTATACTACTAAGTTTTCTCAATTTTGTAAGAATTTGATTTTTCTGTAGGTTTTTTTTTTTTTTTTTTTTTTTTCTTTTTTGAGGGATGGGGGTGTGTGTGTGTACTATTTATTAGTTGTGAAAGAGCTTGAGATATTATGTAGCTCGTGTAGAACTTGAATGATGAGTGAAACTAAATCCATTTTGAATCATATTTCTATTCTCATGATCTTCTTGTGGTGGTTTGATGACACTTTTGCTTTCTATGTAGCATCGATACCGCTACGAGACACACACGACAATATGATTCCGACACGTTAATTCTAAAAAATGTTACATTTCGATATGTTAGGACACATTTTGATATTAAATAATGTTTTTAATTTATACAGTGTATATTATATTTAATATTCAATAATTTAACAAAAAAATGAAGTTAAAGTTATAATATTCATCAATTTTGCAAAAAATCATAAATATCTCAAATATTTATATTAAACTCAATAAAATGGTAATCGTAATTTCACAAATCTAATAGTTGGAATTAAAAACACAATGTATCGCAATCTTTGAACATTTTTTGAGTCTCTATAACGCGTGTTGAAATGTTAGAGTGTCGAAAAGTGTTAAACACGACACATCAAGATTATTTTTGAAGTGTCAGTACTTTATAGTTTGTGTCAATGTTTTCGATATTAGAAATTTAAAATTCTTCTCCTATATATTATAAAAGGACTTTATTAATCTCATGCAATAGGAGAGAAGCTTTTTTTGTTTTATATTATCTTAGAATTCAATTTATATTCGAATTGAATAGAAATTGAATATAATTTATGATAAGAATATTAAAGTTAAAAGAAAAGATCTTCAAAGATAAGAATTATTAAAATTCACAATTATTGAATTATTAATCAACTTCTTTATACTTGTTCCTGGAGTAAAAAGAGTTCCATCTGTTCCTGAATAGCTTCCTTCAAAAGGACTTCTGCTTCCCCAGTAAATGTCTTGGTAGAAGATATGATTTCTCTCTTATGCTATGAGACAATCATGTGAGACCCACCACTTATAAAAAAAAGATAAAAAAAAAATAACACGGAAATCGATGTATGTGTAGGAGAGAATAACACTCTCCTACAACATAAGACTATATTTTCCCATTATAAAAAGCTTGATTAAATTGCAAACGGGGAAAATGTGACAAGAAGAGCATCTCGTGGTGGAATATGGACAGTTGGAAAAGCATATCCATTATGTAAGGCAAAGAAAAGATATGGCACACATAAATTATCCTTTTTTTGTTTTTTATTACGGGAATATGCGATTCAATGATTTATATATGAACAGTACATCTAGCTTCACTTAGTAGGAAAAAAAAATGTACAGGAATTATATAGTTGTTCCTAAAAAATAAGGCTCTTAAAACCACTTTATTTTCCTCCTGCACTTGGGACTAAATCAAACGGGTCATCTCAAATAAACCATTATATAATGTAAAAAGTAACATTATAATTCGTTTTTGTCAAAGGAATAGGTATGCTTCTACTAAAAAAAATCTCTATAGCGATGAGATTGTTATGAAAGTTTCATCGTTAATTTCATTCTCACTACTAATTTTCATCGCAAATTCTCTCCCAAAATTATTTGTGAGAGAATTTGCAATAAAAAATAACAGCGAGAATGAAATTAGCGACAGAATTTTCATAATAAGCTTCCCATAATCAAAGCAAGTCAGACATATAGAGAATTAGTCGTACATAACAGAAAACAAAGAAAAAAAAATTGCATTTTTTTTTTTGAAAAACTTTTTTTTTTTTGGAAAACAAAAAAACCCCGCATTTTTTGAGGTACATTTGACTGACACAAATATACCCATCGAGTAGGGAAATATTTAATATGTTCCAGGATCACCTAATGGTTTGGTACTCCCTCTCACAATACTAATTTTTTCTTTCCCATTTTACCCCTGCTATTTTTCTTCTTTTTCAATTTTATCCTTCCATTTACACTAAGGGACCACCTAAAAAATGGTGGTCCCGCACCACAATAAATTTTGTCATCGAGTAGATAGCTAACAACAACGATAAATTTACACAATTTGTAAATATAAAGAAGATATTATATTTATAAATTTTTTGTTTACAAATTATATTAAATATGATCAGTCATATTTTAATTAAGAGTGTATAACTGTTCATACTTAATATAATTTATAAACCAATCATTCCCTATATATATATATAAGCTTTAATGTTTCTACAGTGAATGTAGATAAGTTATCTACATTCGCTTTCAAAATGATGTCATTTTGACTTGAAAAATTAAAATGAAAAAGAGTATTGTAACCCTAAAATAAATTATAATTATAAAAATATCTTGATTTTCGCTTCAAAATGACGTCATTTTGGACTCAATATATATAAGTTATCTACATTGACTTTAAAAAAAGCGAATATATATATATATATATATATATATATTGGATCTAATTTTTTTACATTTAATACATAAAAGTTATCTGTAATATACTATGTACTATAGGTAGTATAAAGTGTAATTTTTAAAATCTAAACAAAGATAAAGTTCATTTCAAAAATTATACTATATAATATCAATAGTACATAAGTATTAAATGCAGATAATTTTTCTGCATTAAATGCATAAATATTTTTTCCATAAATATTAAGAGAGTTATATTTCTTATGCAATATCAGTAAAGTCTTTTCATGTTAGATTCATATCATTTTATGTGCCAATATTTTTTTTTTAATTTACCATTTTTAATGGGTCCACCTGAATACGTATGTGTTGCAAAAATTCTATAAGAATTATAAATCCCATATATTAATAAGTTACGATTTTCAAATTATTTTATAAAATGCTTCGATTGAATTTTGGTACCGGTGAGTGGTGACAAAATATACGTAATGTTAGAGACGCATGTTGTTAATTCAGTTAGTGAAACTCACCTTATTCTGTCACATGACAAAATATGTCCTGGATTCAATAATAAACTTTAAACGTGACAAAATGAAAAATATTTTTTCAAATATGACATTTTGAATTTTTTATTATTTATTTATTTTTACAAAAGATGACATTTTGATCTTTTCTCAATGAAATCAATGACTTTGCCTTGGTATACTTAATCTATAAGCAATGATATTCTTTTTACTAACACGAAGTTTTTCCCCCCTTGTTAGTTCAATGTAAAAATTCAAGATAGCAGACCATGTAGTGAACCAAAACATTAGAGAAAAGGAATATTTGAGTAGTACAATTTTTTTAGACTACATAAAAAGTGAATTTGATGCACAGAAACTTACTATCATTTTTTTCGGATTTCTCCGTCTGTACATCAATTACAGGATTATTTCGGTTCGAGTCAACCAAGACTACCAGAGAAACTTACTAACTGTATTTGACTAAATTGAATTTTATTGTACATAATCATTCCTTGATTTGGATTCAAAAAATGTTGCCAGGGTTTAAGAGTTAAAAGTCATCGTTTAGTCAAAAAAGGAAAACCCGGTAGACCAATAACAAGGAAACTACGCTCCATTGGGATCATATTCTCTCAGTCAGAATTAGTTTCCACAAGACCACAACCAACCAAATCAGAGATCATTTTCTTGTTATTGATTCGTATAACTCGGCATGATATTGAAATGTCAAGAGGAAAAGGTATTTGACCATATCTAAGAGTAACCATACAAAGAGATTTTAATTCAATGTCCAGAATTTATCTTAGCATTCCGATGTATGTCAGAATGCAGCAGTCAGCAATTATTATGTGTTAATAGTCCTCACTTGCTATTCTCACTGCATCAAACATCTCACTCCCTCACTCTTTCTCAATTTCCCACCACTACATATAACCACCCACTATGTATTGTATGAGACCACTAAATCACCAGGAAACTATCCACTATCTGCATAATCTTATAGTGCACTTCATCTATATATGACTCACTATAACAAAAAATCTGATAAGTTCCATAGCTACAGCCTTCACATTAGTGCTCAAAGGACATCTTATCCACTAAGTAGGTGACTCACACACACACCTCTTATCAGCATGCCCATCGAACTTTGACTAGAGGTACTTGATCCATCATTGCCATTTATCTCTTTCACCCTCTCCGTACTAGAGGTACTTGATCCATCATTGCCAGTTATCTCTTTCATTCGCTCCGTAGATACAAATATTAGCTATTCTGCTAGACATTGATGTTTGAACATTTTTCATTTAGGATATAGATCAAACTGAAAAGACATAAAAATCGGCAAAATTCTTGAACGAGCTCGATTAATGATTTCATGGAAAAGAAATAGAATTAAGGTGTAAAGAACCAATTCAACCCAAAAGCTTAAGTTGTTGGGTGAAGCTACATTAATGGTTTTATATATCTCAACACGCCCCCTCACACCAGAGCCCATTGGGCTTGAAGGGTGGACAATGCACAAGCCCACCTACCTGTGCGAACAAAGAAATTCCACTTGAAAGAAAGTGGAGGGCGGCGAGGATCGAACCCGGGACATGAGGCTCTAATACCATGTAAAAAACCAATTCAACCCAAAAGCTTAAGCTGTTGGGTGAGGTTACATTAATGGATTTATATATCAACATAAGGAAAAAGAAAAAATTATGAATCAGATATTATACTAGTTTCAAGTTCAACATTCGAAATTTCGCTTTTGACTTTGTAAATCATATTGTACAAAGAAACCGATGGCTCCAGTCCTGAATTTATCATCCGACCCAAGAGAAGCTCAGCTTCCTTCCACTTTCCATCCTTGCAGAGAAGCCCTGTGGTTGAACAAAAACTGGCCACATTTGGAAGCATTCCATTCTCAACCATTTCTTCGAGTAGCCTAAGAGCCCTATAAGAGCTTCCTTCTTTGCAGTAACCATGAATCATTGTATTATATATGACACTATTTGGCTCCAAGTGCAGCTCACCCAATGATTTGAAGAGTTTTAAAGCTTCTTTCATGTTACCATTCATACATAACCCATGTATAAGGACACTGTATGTGCAAATGTCTGAAACCAAACCAGACTTCTCCATTAAAGAATGTATCTCAAAGGCTTTCTCCATATAATTTAATCGTACAAAAGCATCAAGCAGAATTGTGTATGTCACTTTGGAAGGAGCAACCCGTCTCTCCTCCATTTCCTTGACCAAGTTAAGAGCTCCTGCTAAATTTCCAGTCTTAGAATATCCTGCAATCAAAGTATTATAGGTCACTAATGTTGGCGATAATCCATTTGACTTTAGTTGATTGAATAATCTAACAGCAGTGTCAATCTTTCCAACATCACAAAACCCATTGATCAGTGTGTTATATGTAATTATATTAGGACTCAGGCCAATCCTGTTGACTCGATCAAACAACTTCACTGCTTTCCCAAGCTTCTTCTCTCGACACAGCCCACCAATCAAAATGTTGTATGTTACAACACCATATGCTACCCCTTTCTCGCGCATTTCATCAAACACCTCAAAAGCTTTATCAACGTTCCCACCATTACAATATTCTGTAATCACACAGTTGTAAGCATAAATATTAGGCACAATTCCACTTCGCTTCATATATTCATACATTTGAAATCCTTCCTTTTGAAGTCCTTGCTTGAAAAACCCATTCATTAATACACTGTAAGTATGCTGATTGGGAACTAAATCCAATCCCTCCATCTTTGCAAACAACAACTTTGCCAGCTGAAGATCACCATTCTTGCAACAGCCATCAATCAACGTAGTGTATATGACAACATTTGGAGACAAACCCATCTCTTCCAACATACCCAAAAGCTGAAAACCTTTCATTAAGTCACCAGCATCACAACAACCCTTGATCATAATCCCAAAACTGTAAACATCCAGAACAACCTTATTCTTCAATTCATTGAAAAAAACCCATGCTTTACCAAAACAATTTGATCTAATAAGCAAGCTCAAAAGATTATTGAACGTGTTTGATCTAGGAGCATGGCCATTGTGAATCATCTGGTGTAAGAAATAGAGGGCTTGATCAGGTGACTGAGAAAGAACATGGGCATTAACAATTGCTTCGTAGAGAAGAGTATAGGTCGAATTAGAGGTGAAATGGGTTTGTGTTAATTGATGCATAAGAGAGGATGGGGAGAACATAGGAGAGGAGATTCGACCAGAGATTAGGCGCACGAGAAGAGATTGAGCTTGGGATAGCATGCCAGAGGAAAGGAAATGGTTTAAGATAAAGGATATAGATTGGGAGGTATGGTGAAGGCCTTGATAGGTTGAGGAGTTGAAGAACAAAAGTGCTTTTGCTGGTGGAACTTTCACCATTTTTTGAATCAGAATCAGAGCTTCATGAGAAGAATGAGACATGTTTCTCTTCCACTTCTAACTTCTAACATCTAATGGCATTATGAGTGGGTTCCCGTTGAAACCATTCAAAACATCTTCTGCATTCAAAAATTACTTGGATCGTGCTGCTGTCATGTTCTGTTTTAGACAAAATTTACTGTGCATTAGGAATAACATTTTATTGTATTTGCGGTGTGAAAATATTTATTTTGGCGTATTGATAAAAATATTTTTATTATTTAATATTAGATTACTATTATATTACTCTAATGTATTGTTAATATAAAATATTTTTACACTATCAACTAATTTTGCATAAACAATTATTTTAATAAAATTTTTAGTATAAATAATTATACATGTCAATTGTTGAACTCATCAAATAATAAGGTAATACATCATTAAATGATAATATAACATTAAAATTAAATTACATAATATTAATTTTAAAATTAATTATTTGAGCATTAATTAATTTATAATTAATTTTTTTAACCTTAATTTTTTTAATTTAATTTAAGAAATAATTTTATATCCTTTTTCAGTAAATATACATCTAAAAATTATTTTTATTGACACTATTCAAACTATATTTATTACATTAAAATAAATTTTCATATAAATATTTTAAACATAAATTAATTTACTTGGACATACTTTTAACTAAAATTAATTTTACAAAATCAAATTTACTTAAAAATTATTTTTCTAAATTCTAATCCAACTAACACTAAATAAGCTTAGGGTAAGCAACAAAAAAAATAAATAAAATAATAACAATAAGTTAGGCTGTTCGAAGGGAAAAAGGGTGACTTTTTCGCTTGACAGACAGAATAGACACCAAAATTAATATGGAAAAAGTATGTCAACTTTAAATGACATATTTATATCATTTCAGTCTCGTAAAGAAGTGAGATCGCATCTTTATATATATATTTTTGTCTACTTTCTATTTTTATTTTTTATTTTTTTCTCTCATTTAAAATTAAAATGACGTAATTTTACATCATTTATAATGATACACGTTTTTCCGAGATAATATTATATTTTTGTGTCTGTGAAAACCTCGTGACACTAGGATGTTTTTGGATACTGCAAATGTGTCGGTTTGGGTCGTCTTCTGTCAGATGCAATTAGTTGAAAATATGTTGATTAGCCGAAGGATAGGGTTGATCTATCAATGAACGTGGGCTTTGGTCTCAGAAAGAGTTGGGCTTCCACGATAGCCTATAACCTATTAGTTGGGTCCCAAACCCAATTTATGAAAATAAAAACTACGCATGCGCTTGTAAATTATAATATAACTGATTTTTATTAATATTGTATTTTATGGGGAAAAAATTGTGTAATATAGGATATTATATGGAAATATTTTTATTTTATTTTTTAGATATTTGTTTCGGTGGAATTTGGGTTAAATAAACTCTTTATTTAAATTATTTTCATTCATTCTTCAATGATAATTGTTTTGGGTAGGATTAAAATCTGAATTCACTGAACCGAAGCTGAAACATGAAATAGGTTGGGTAGGAACTAGGAACTAGGAAGTCCTATTTATGTTCACTAACTTCGGGATTAGTCTCCACGACAACAACAACAACGTGGACCTGCCCACACAATTGAGTGGAGGTTTAAAGAACCTGATTTTCTTTTTGGTATTTCAGTACATGTAGGAATATAAATTTAAAATCTATGGCATTATAGTTACTGTAAACTACTTAAAACCTTCAACGCTAACTCATATCTAGCAACTTGTGATGTTGTCTTTCTAAATATATTACGATTAAATTATAGTACACAATCCAACAACAACAAAATTATAGTACACATTTTCACAGATAAATATTTCGTGATGGCAACGCACAGTGAATCTTGATCTTCCCCGATTTTCAACTGATGAACAAATCTTTGATATTTCTGTAGCATCATACATCTAGTTAAAAAGGATAAAAAATTGAAATTTTGATGAAAATAAAGATAAAAATATTAGTTTAAATGAAAAAGGAAGATTATATTCACAATTTTTTTTTTACAACTTCTTATAATCATATCTTAACACCGTTGATTTCTGTCAATCAACGGTTATCATTTATTGTGAATTAATAATTAATTAATAAATTTAATTTGCGAAAATAAAAATCGTTAATTGACAAAAAGCAACAATATTAAAATATAGTTGATCTCTATTGTAAAAAAAAAAATTGTTAGTATAATGTTTTTCAAAATGAAAATAATTTTTTTTTTAATAAAAAGGAAGTACCGATAGCCCCACAGAAAAATTCCCACTCCACAACATTCCAAAATTTGATGTGATATGACCCCTTAAAAAATCTTAAACCCTGTCTAGTGTCTGATTCCCTTTATCTTTTGAGCTCTCTTTAGCTAGCCTTGCCATACATACTGGGCCCATACTCAGCCGGATTTTTATTCAAAATTCTTTCTCCATGACAATGATGAACACTGACGCTACTCTCTGCTGCGGTGAAAGTGAGCGTGTCGGTCTACAGGGTCCTACGGCTTGGTCTATGTCAGGTTAGATCTGATCTAATATATTTCGTAAAATAAGTCGGACTTGGACTTTGAAAAAGCTTGTTTAATAAAAAGGTCGTAGGTCCACTTTCACGAGGTCTGGCCTCTTAGCCTACAGGCCGACCTATATTGTACTATTTATTTTAAATAGAATAAGTATGTCTTGAAGAAAAAATAAAAAATATAAATTAATCAATTACAATTATTTAAAACTTAATTATATTCGATTATATTTTAATAGATATCTGATTTTATAATTTATGTAGGAAGAATCAACATCTCAGCATGTTAGAATGTGTATATGAATATATTAAAAGATTTTTGGGAGAGGTTATACTTACTACAAATATCATGATGTGTTTGTTGGATTCATGTAGTTATTTTAATTTACATAGTATGAATTTGTTTGTTAGATCTGATGAAATATATGTTATTTAGTTTGAGCATTTTGCTTTTGAAAGTGACTTAAATGCATATTGTATGAGTTTTGTTGTGATTCATGATTTTGTTTGGATGTTCAAATTATGATTTTTGGATTAGCAACAAAATTTGAGTATTTTGTAAAGTTGATTCATGGTCTACTTGGAAGTTAAAAATTAACAGGCTAATAGAATAGGTCAGGCCATTTATTTTTTTTATAAACGGGCATGTTCTGCCTGAGGCAGAGATGTCCGATCGTAAGTCGGATGATTGATCTTGGATCTAGTGCTTTCTCTCTAGATAGTGTAAGAGAGATCTGTTATACCTGTGGTATTTAGCTCCTATTTATAGGGCTTACCTTTGGGCTTGCATCATTTGAGCTACCTGTGACTGTGGGCCTTCCTCAGGTCCATAACAGGGCCAAGTCAGACTAACATGTAGACTCATACTAGGCTTGGGCCAGGCCAAATTGAAATTTTTTGGCGTAGGCTTGGGCTTTTTGGGGCAAAGTTTGGCCCAGCCCAGCCCACTTTCACCCTACAGTCTCTACTAGGGCTGTAAATGGGCTAGGCCGACCTACAAGGGCCTACGGCTTAGCTTATATTAGGTCAGGCTTAGCTTCTTACAAATAGTAAAATAGAATAGGCCTAGGCTTTTAAAAAAACCTATTTAGAAAATAGGCCATAGATTTTTCTTGTACATATCGGGCTTATAAGCCTACAAGCCGACCTATATTAGATTATTTATTTTAAATAAAATAAATAAAATTATTATTTTAATAAATTTGAATAATAAAGATATTATTTTAGTTATTCTTTTAATTGTTGAATGTTTAATAGGCTTAAACAAGCTAACAAGCCTAGGCCAAGACTTTTAATTTTTAAAGATAGGTCAGGCCAGACTTATAATTCGGGGCCTACACAGGTTAATAGGCAAGGCCAGACCCAATATTTTTTTTACACAGACTTGATCTGTTTAGATCAAAGCCTAGCCTAACCTAGCCTATTTACACCCATACTCTCTACACAGACAACTGAAGAAGATTATTTTCTGAACGATGGGTTTACTTGAATGGCCAGAGAAACAATAATGGGGTAATAAAATTTCGGGACTTTAACCATGTTATGACGTTTCCCAAAAAACTTGTCTGAATGTCGAGCTCGTTTAATATGGGCCCGGAGCTCATGTTCCTTTACCAAAAGTAGGAGAAAAAAAGAATTGGGAGGGAATTTAGAAAGAAGAAAGGGGTATAAATGGAATTTTTTTTCCTTTTTTAGTAAAGGACCGTCAAATTTTAATGTGCTCCTGGAGCACAATAAAAAAAATCCCTAAATGTCATGTTATGGTAAAATTTTGCCAAAATGTCATGATGGCAAAGTTAGTGGTTTTCAATGCCACGTGACACGAAACGATAAGTCATTAAACTCGTTATTGTTGACAGTTTGATAGCCTATTGTTTTGACACATGATAAATTTTTGAAGATCATAACTTTTGACTTGAGTGTTCGCATCAGATATTTTTTTATTTCACATGATTTTTTGAGATCTACACCCCAGTAAATACCCGAAGGGAATTAGATCAAAAATTTTGTCTAAAAAATGCTTCATTATGTCTTGTTTGGCACATTTTATTTATGTGAATGATTGCTAGTCTGCTACTTAACTTTTATTCTTATTTTCACTCTCCAACACTAAAATAAAATTTTTCGAGAATTTTTCAGCACGTAGATCTCAAAAGTTAATTGGAATTAAAAAAATATCTAATTCAGATACCCGAGTCAAAAATTATGACTTTATGGAAATAAGTTAATTTTTTAACCAATATACTCGATGCCACTGGCAGTGAATTTCTCTTGTCCTACTACATGGTAGTTGAAACTTGTTGTCACTAACAATGAGTTTATCAGTGTGATATTTTGGCAAAATTTTATGATAATGTGACATTCAGGTAATTTTATTGGGAAAACGTGGAACGTTGGTCAATGTGACTAAAATTTGGAACAGTGACCAAAGTTTCACTATTTAGCAAATTTTTTAACCAAATATCACACAAATAATACTTTTTACCAAAC